TGAATACTTGAACTGTTCGACACGTTCAGGCAATCGAGTCCCCAAATCACCTTCCGGCAAAAAGAGAACTGATCAATTTCAGATTTATAGTCCGGCCACGTTAATTAGTAACCAGGCATCTGCAACGGCGAGAAAAAAACCGCCTTTTGCCCTTCCTTCCTGCCTCTTGAAGCTTCAAGAGCGGCAAGTCGCCGGTTCTTGTTGCCCGATAGAGATTCTTGATACACCTCGCGTATCAGAGAAATATAAGAGGCACGATTATTATTCAACACAGCAATCTCTCGTTTTATATTAATCGCGAGAACAATAGCTCCACCCATTTTCGCGTGAAAGAAATATACTCTCGCGTCGAGAGTGATAACAAATACAGGTGTAAAAGAAATTTCGAGGGGACGAGCCAATTAGCGGTACCCCAGCATCCTCGGCGAATACCTAAAGCGGTGGACAGGTGTGAGATGAGCATAATCGTGTATACGCGCGCGTGAAACGGCCGTGTTAACACACGTGCGAATCTGGCGAACGCAGCGGGACGTATCAAGTCATTTCTCGTCGCTGTTCAGGTTTCCCCTGGACCGTCCTTCCTACCTGCTTCGCAGATAGGAAGTCTCCTCGTGAAAGTTGACAAATAATTTAACACCAAATACATACCTCGTTTTTATCTGGATGCATTTAACGTTGCAGAAAAAAAGGAAAAATAAAATGAGAAAAACAAAATTTCACACGCATTTTCCATTTCATCGGAGAGAACCGAGGTCGTTATCTACCGGGTGACTGTTTACTTTGCACCCGAACACGCTGTTGCATCGACGCTGGTGTATCGTTCGACATGCCATTATCAGTCGCACTTCATCACGCGCATAATATCGTTTCGACTTTAATGGCGGCGCGTTTTGCACATATACACATGTACGTAGTGCGCCAGTTGTGCACTTCCTTTGCGGACTCCGCCCCCGCAAACGCCCCTTGGGAATTATACGATCCGTGCAGCGGTACACCTGTGTGCGGTCGTGTCTCTTCGGCGAGAACGTGACTCAACTGTCCGATGAGTCTCGGTCATTTCGAGAACAACGTGAATCCATAATTTCTGAAAAGCGGAACAGCTGTAGCGAGACGTGTTATTGACAACAGCGCAAATTTACAGTCACGCTTAAGAACAACCGCGATCCTCTCTCCGGTGTAATATTTCTCACGAGATTCTATTGTGCGCGCATATTATTCCCTTCGAAATATTTATACTCTACGAATAACGCGATTTTCATTGCTTCGTCTCGATAAATTAATATGAATTAAGCTACTTATCCGATTGTCCGAAATAGAACTCTGGAAATAAAGCGTCCCGATAAAATCAATATTTTATCGAGAGAACGTCGTCGTATTCTTTTATGCCAGGAGGCAGGGAGGAGAGCCCTCGGTCCTTGAAATCGAGCGGCATATAGCGTGTCCGGCGCTATATGATCCGAGAGCAGCCACTCTCGGATCGTGTCGCGTCGGAGCCACGAGGGATCTAATCCTCCGAACTTGCGCAGCGCGAAATCGCGCCTTTCACGAACATGTGTCTGACATTTTTAATCGTCGGATTAAAATAACTGATGCCAAGGTGTAGCCCCGGGAATCCATTATCCGGCGGCGGATGAGGGACCGGCCACCCAAAGTGTCGCGTGTCCCCCGGGGATCTGCCAGGCAACGTGGACTGTTTTAAGCCTGACTTTAAGTCGTTTCGATTTTGTCGTGGAACCGCGCTGCGTGAAAAACACTTACAAAGGATATAAAAATAAAACCAACTTACTTAACTAAATTTTGAACGGCAGGCAAAACCAAAAATTGCTTTTTTTTTTCGAAAGATTAAGATTTTTAGCGAATAATCGAATATATCAGTCCACAGCAGATATAATAAAGACGTTGTCTTTTTAAAATTCGGCGACCGTTCCGCAAAACTTGTGTAAAAAAAAAACCAGCTCTCCTCCTCGGTATACGACTATGTCAGGAGTTACAAATACCGCCGGGGGCAGCGAGGTTGCGATCGAGGGATTCCTTTATTGCTCGGATAATAATGATTCGGACCCTCGGCTGACTAAAGAAACGCCCGAAGGTTTACTGGTAAATTACCGAGCATCTCTCCTGCAATTACCGATGTAAAAGAGAGTCGTAGGTTTATTCTTTGTATAAACACCGGTTATAACATAATCCAAAAGTTATTTCAATATCGTGTACATATATATCATATATATAATATGCTATTATACTTTTATATAGTGCGTGTTTATATCTATTACACTTGTGTCTATTAAATATCTTCGATAAAGAATATATACACGTAATGTCTCGTAACTACACGACCATCTTGGCGTGTGCAAGAAATATATATACGAACGGAAAAGGGGAGAGGGGAGCGAGGATGCAACAGGAGTGCAATTCCGGGGGGCGGTACTTTTCCTACACGGCTCTCTCTCTCTCTCTCTCTACATCAGCAATTCACTATGCATTTGTTCACGTGCGTGGTCTACGTGCATAAGTGTTCCAGGTAAACTCCATTACCGGCAGCCATGTTTCTCGCGTTGCTACCGTATCCTGCACTATTCACGGATACTTTGTCAAAGCGGTCATTGCATGCAAGATACAAGAGCGACGCGCGCGCGCGCGCGTATACACGCATATATACACACATACACCACACGTACGTATCTCGATTTATGTTTAAAAGATACTTTTTACATATGGTATAATGGACCACAGGACAGAGATAACTTTTTAGTAAAGATGCGGCACAACTTTTAATGTCGGCGGAAACCAAATACAGATCTCCGAAGAAGGCACGCACGATAAATATTGTCTACGACTGCGTATTTTGCAAGTTGGTAGCTATGTCTCGGGCTTCCGAGAAACTCGCAAGACGTTTGCCGTGAGCACATTTGTTCTGTCGTGTACACAGCGGGACAACTCGCTCGAAAGGGAATATAGTAAATTGAGGCCAACGGTAGGACGCGGAGTACAAATATGTTAAAAATTAGCTGGGCAAATACACGTTATTCCGAACGTCGCGCGTTAGAGGAGAATCGCGCGGGATGGTTTAATTTATTCGTCGTCGTGCTTTCTTTCGCGATGCCGTAGAACCGTTTCATCGCGAATTGAAGTTTCGCGAATTCCATTATGAGAATCCCGTGAGCGTATAATTAATGTTACACGTGACCGGATACCGTCGCATACAAAATTAAAATTCAGTCGCGGAAGTGCGCGGCGGCACTTTGTTCAGGGACGGGATTCAATTAAAAAAAAAGCCGCAGCATTATATTTCATATTCATCGCGCGTCTTCGTTCGTCTTCGCTCACACATTCGCAAGTAATAATTAAAAATACTCGTTCGCGTTAATATCAGTCCGGAAAGCGGCTCCGCCGCCGGCTACCGGGTATCCGCATTTCCACCGCTTTTCCATCCCTTAACCAGCCTGTCCCCTCCCCTTCCCCCCTCTCCCCCCCCCCTCTTCCTCTCCCTCTTCGGGACGTTTATCTCGTCATCGCTCTCTTTTGCATCCCGGACAGAGCTCTCTCTGCGACGAATTTGCAAGCTTTTAATACAAACGCGACGCTCGTTCACCGCCGAACGCAACTTGTTGTCAACGCCATGCTTTTCCCTTTTTCCCTCCCCTTTCTGTCCATCTCCCGTCGTTCTGTCCTCTTCTCCATTCCGCGATTCCCCGGCTGTTTTTGCCGCCGTATCTCGACGGACCTCCATCCCCTTTATGAATAAATGGAAAGAGAGAGAGAGAGAGAACGAGAGTCGTTTTCACCTGCAATCGTCGCGTTAACGCGATATCCTCTCCCTTCGCGGTGGAAAACGCTGGTCGATTTTATTTATGTATATATATCCGGCCCCTCGTGTTATACCGTTCCGGGTCTGAGCTGACAGATCACACGGAATATGCGTTCGCCGTCGCATTCGTTTCTGTCGGCGTTGTCTGTCAACGTAATGAGCAGACACGTTTTGTCGATATAACGAGAAGGCTTGACAACTCTCCGCCGATGCGCTTAAAAGTCCGCGGCGCGCTTATAGTCGCTTAAATGCAGAATGTCGATATGTGTACGAGCAGAATTTATTGATAGATACATTAACCGGTTCGCCGCGGCTGTCTTTCATCAAGCTTGGCGAGATGATAAACTCAAACGCGCGCGCGTTAGATAATCGTATCAGCGACAAATTTTCGATTGAGATATCATTTTTGCCAGACGTCGCTGTTTTTTCGATAATTTTGTTTACGAGTTGTCGGCCGTTAATTTTACTCGACACCGCGATTTTCCTTCGTTCTTTGTCGCGTTTCCAAAGAATATTCGGGCGCATTTTGAACATACGCGATCGAGAACGAGTGTTGCGTATCCCGTAAAACGTATATTCGTGTTATTCTTCGAATATATAAGTGAATTAGAGTGTTACACATACCCTCGTTAGAGCTTAATAGTCCTACTATTTTTCAAGTGCGCTCGAGCGTTCGTTGCCGAAAGCCACGCGCGTGCCACCGGACTTACTCTCCGAACATAATGGAATCTATCATCGAGAGGGTCGAGATTGATTATCTCGCGACGCACGCCCATCCACTCGGTGCGACAGTGGGCCCAGTATTTTGCCTATAGGCCATTCTAACGAGAACGCGGTGAGAAAAATGAAACGAGCTGTATCATGGGAGTACACATGCTCAATCTAGATGACTCTTTAAACTATATAGGCGGGTCACGGCCACGTGCCGAAGAAAATGCATCAACGGTCTCGCTGACCCAACATATTTTTTTCCTCTTTCTTCCTGTACGTGTCGACATGATTAATATCCGCGCTCTCAAATATTCTACACGTGATTTCCAATTGGTAAGCTTTATCATTTTGACATTAAATGGATCAAAACCAAAAATTGGCGATTATTTAATTTTGTAAATTATTTCGTTTTTATTCGATCCAAAGCGATGAGATTCAGCGTGTTTAGTCTTTTTTATCGTTTACTTAATAAATTCAATACCTTCGTGGACTCAAGTCCCGAATCCGTATCATGAGTGGTGACCATGAGAAACATCCATTTCCATCCAGCATTCGAATGCAGTCTTGTAAGCGAGAATCCGGGTAAAGTCGGGGGTCGAGGGTTGGCGCGAGAACCTTTCGCCGGCGCATGACATCCTTGCTCAGCGACTGCTCTCGAGCACCCTAAACAAAGGGATATTGAGAGACTTCGGAGAGAGATAGAGGAGAAAAGTAGGGTGAGAGAGAGAGAGAGAGAGAGAGACTGCCGATCGCGGGGAAGGAAGGACGCGAAGGATAGGCGGACCTACCACCTTAAGGATCAGAGTGACTCCGCCACAATAGTGCGTCGCCGAGAATCCAAGGGGGTTTATTAAAGCCGTGGTTGGCGATACAACTCACGTTCTCTGCTTTTCCACCGAACACCCTCCTATCCTAGTCTACCTTCTTCTCTAGTGCGCTTTTCCTCATCCCCCCAACGGCTTCTTCCGCTCGCTCGCATTTATACGCTTATCCGGGAGTGTCCGATCGTTTGCCGTCTTACACCGGACTCGAAATTTCGAATAAATTACTCAACTTTGTCGATATCGCTAATTATATATTCGCTCGTTTTATACAAAGATAAGAAAGAGAGCGATTTACGTTGAAGTAATTTATCACATACAATATTATATATATTATTTTGCCATTTCAAAGGAGAATTAATTTTAAAACAGAGGCAATTTTTTAACGTTAAAATTTTAATTGAAGGATTAGAATTCGGGCAGAAAAGAAATATTCTAGGATGAGATGCGAATAATAAAAGAGAGAGAGAGAGACCGAAAAAGTATTGTCTCCGAGCAATTTTCGTCGTAAAAATAATCCGAGGTACGACGAGCACTCTCGCGGTCGCGGCGGGATTTCCGACGGATATATCGCTCCACGACATTTGCGACGAGCATAATCCGAGGACGTGGATAACGCGCGCGCTGCTATATTCATACCAGGTATAAATCAGGACGTCGCGCGCGCGCGCATCTCGGGGGTTTTATCGACAGGGACATTACGCGAGCATAGCGATGTACGCGTGTAAGAAGGCGACGGCGGGTAATCGGGACCCTGGAAACACGTGTCCCACATCCCGCGTTCCCGTCAGCCCCTCCCCCCTTTCCATCGGTGGCGGCGCAGCTCTCTTTGCAAGAGAGAGAGAGAGAGAGAGAGAGACTCTCCTCGAGTCGTGATAGCGCGACTCCTTTTCCGTCGCCCTCGTTGACACGAAACGCGCATTAGGCGCGGCTGCATCCTTACGCCCTCGTTCCACGTGCCCCTGTAAGGTTACCTTCCCGCCGCCCTCCCCTTAAACCGGTCATACTTTAAACGCCTGTCACACAAGGAAGCAAGGATGCCTTGTGACAGCTGATACATGCGGGATGCGTGATAATTTTACGCTCCAAACTCGAAAATATCATCATCGTACGCCGCGAGGTAATCTTGATAAGATAGATATTCGGATTAGATTTTCGAAGGTTCATTATCCTCCCTGAAACGAGCAGGAAATAAATCATTGTAACGCCGGTAATCAGTAAATCGATTTTCACAAAGACATTACCGCGTTTAATAAATCACACGGTTCTCCTCTGTAACATCATCTCGCAAAACGCGGTCCGGATGCTTCTCCCTCGCGCGTAACGTCCTTTCCCCCTCCTCCCCGCAGCAATTTTTTTTCCTCGCGGCGCGAGGGATAGATAGAACGGAATTAGCTCGGTACCCGTGTACCGGCGCCGTCGAGCAAAGCGATAATAAAAGATCGCGGGATAAACTTTCACATTTTTACTTGGACGCCGGTACGATTTTTATTCCGCCACCCCCGCCCTCTTCCGTTTCCTGCCGCGTTTTTTCCTTCTCTCTTTCTCTCTCTTTCTCGATGCATTTATCTATCCTTCTTCGCCCGGCGTTCGCCGGAACTTGCATTAGCGTCTGGTGGCTCAAGCCGGAGGGTTGGTTCGGCGATGGTGCTGTACTTCCTGGACAAAGTAACCGCGCCATTGTCGCAACAAACCACCCACCCGCCCCAACTCGACCTTCTCTGTTCCCTTGCGAAGCGCGTGTCCATTGTACTCGCGTCGTGTTAACGTATCTGCGCCGTATAGAATACGGCGCACGCTGTGCAAGCGTTTCTCCGTTAGAGCTGTACGTTGTACAGCTAATTTCAATGTGATTTTGTACAAGGACCTCTTCTTGCATCGCACTAATGATAGATAGACCGTGTAAAGGTGATACGAGAATGCGAATTTATAGCGTGGTAAAAGTTTCCAACAAGTTTTTTCTGCGATTATCTTTTGAAAAATGAAGGCATAATTTTTGATGAGAGAGCGATAAAACTCTAATTTGTAATTATTACGGCTACTACATCATATTGCGACGAGATCGCGATCGCGAGTTTGGAAACATCGCCGATCGCAATTAGATCGTAAACGATTCGAGTTCGATCCCGTAAACTACACCGCACCTGGCCGTGTCACGGTCTTGTTGCCGAACCGGTCGGCCTGCACGCAGGAGGCACCGGCGTATTTATTGCTTAATTCGCGCTTCTTTGTTTCGTAAAAGTGAGAAACAGCTTTAATAACGGGCCACGATGGGAGTATAATGAGGGGTTACGGTTACAACGGAGGAACCTATAACCGCCTCGCGAGAAAGAGAGCGGCAACCCCTTTTCGGTTCTATTAATGTCGACGCCCGAGATTGTTGATTATGTGGAGCGCTCGTCATATACGTTATCGTTAATTTTCGCGAATACGACAATGTATTTCTAAAATCTCTACGATATCACAACTGCTGACGAGAGAGAAAAATTTCAACTATCATTATTATTATTATCATTGGAGAACGTTTCCCTTACCTCGATATTCTCAATTTCGGGGACTAATGGTAAGCAGCCTAGGGCGCGTGATTTGAACGAATACTTTGTCGGAATGAAACGACGCGGTGGATGACGACGACGATGGAGCGTCTCGTTTCCAGACGGGAAGCGCCTCTCATCGACAGAAGTGGAGAGGGATAAGGAGATGGTCGTGAAGGCGGAGGTGGATGCGGCGGATTATGAGGACGAGACGAGAGCGGCAGCGAGGCGATTGTTCGAGGCGTGGAAGCGTGCCTTAGATGCGACAATTGAGGTTCCAGACCGTGAACCTGCAATCAATGCTTTGTCGTCGTCGTCGTCGTCGTCGTCGTCGTCGTCGTGCCGCGGAAAGAGAGTGTGCACGAGAGAAAGAGAGAGAGAGAGAGAGGATCGAGAAACGCGAGGTAGAGATATTCGGAGGGTGCGAAGACTGCCGTGGAAAGGGCTGGCTTTGTCTGCCTGTGAAAGCTCTCGGAGGGTGCGCAGGCTACCCTCTCGAAGAATACGCCTCAAAGGAAGTCGGCTAGCATACATCCAACTGGGAATCGCGCGTCTTTACTTCAGCGATGGAACTTGAAACCGAACACTTGGCTATGTTTGCGCTCGTTCGAGAGAGAGTACTTATTTTTCAAAACGAAATAAAAATACGATGGAACACAATGTCGCGAAAATCTGTTACAGCATCTGATGCAGCGATAACTACCGTCTTATCATGTTATCGTATCATTGCTATTCATGATGCGTACACTGAATAATTGCTGATCTTTTTCATAATAACCACCGTACGTTGTAAATATAATAACCGTAGAAAAATCAGCGATCGACTGATCGCGCGATTAAAAATATGCCCTCCTCAATTATGTAAAAGAATTTTGCTCCGACACCTGCCACCGATGTACCGAAAATGACTCTGACCTCGAATATAATCAAGTTAAAATAATTTCGCCGAACAAATATAAATTGATTTAAAATATCTTTCTATAAAAAAATACTCATAATATATTTTCGATCGCGCAAATTTTAACAATTCGTTTGCCGAGGAGAAAAAAACGTTAAAAAATTAGCGTTCGCAAAATTAGTCAAACCAGATATTTTCGTCCCGATTTTCACATTTAATTGTCGATTTGCGATAATCGTTCAAAGTCGAAAATATCATTGATTTCTCATCTCTTTCTTTTTTTACGATTACGTAAAGGCCTTTAGTCATCAGGGTATAAGCGAATAGATACGATAAATTTACATGTGTTCCGCGGAGATGGTGAGTGTCGAGCAGGTACAACTGAAAGAGACGATCATGCGGTGGGATTACCTGTGCAATGCGAACCATTAGCTGCCGTGTATGCAGTGTACTCGAGCGGACTTGTAGTCGGGTAGCATTTGCCGGCGGAAAATATACACGCGCATATCCGTTCGCGCGCGCATGCACATCGAATGTTTCGACAAGAGAAACAATAAGGGTCTTTTGATTTCCGCAAATCTCTTGTTTTCTATTATTTGATTATTATCGGGAATACAAGTATTATAAATTGAGTGCTATATTTATCGTATTTACAATCTATTTAACGTAAAAAGTCGCACATCATTATAAATTAATTATATATTTATATCTTTTACTATGATATAATAAATTATACTAAATAATAATAAATATGACAGAGCTTTGAATAAAAGCAAACTTTACTTGTAGTATTTATATTTGTCATATACATTTCAGTTAGAATGAGCGGAATCTTTTTGATATATCGCGATTTATTGGAGAACTTAATAAAATGCTAATTATAAGAAATTTATAAATATACATGTACACATGTGTATTATGCGATGCGTGCGGAGAAACCTTTATTTCTTCTCTCGACGATCGGTTTGCCGATTCTCGGACGAGGGGCCGCGAGTAACAGTGCAAAAGACGCCGAAACATTCTGTACGTTTGCGCACAGAACGCGGCGCACTAAGTGTAAATGAAGCGGCTTGTAGGCTAATGGAGGTAGTGCTACCGATGTTGGCTGAGCAATTAAGCCGGTCCGCGGTCGAACAGAGGATAAATAACGGATATACAGGCCGCCGTGCGGATACGGCGAGAAAAAAGGAGAGGAGAGAGAGAGAGAGAGAGAGAGAAGGGGGAAACGGGCTCTCGTCTTTTAAAAAATTCATTAATAGCAACGAGGTAGCTAGTATAATTACCAACACTAGTACCGTACTCGCGATCGTAAAAAAACCAGACAAGGATCAAGAATTAACTCATGTAAATGCTCGATAATGACGCCGTAATTTTACATCGTACTTTTATCAGCTTAGTTAATTACTCGTACGTGAAGCAATCAATGAAGCTAGTTCAGGACGGAAACAGGCACGCAATAAGAATTATTGGACGTAGCAAGTGTGTGCTATTTTAAATGCAAAGAATTTGAAAAATTCTTCTCGAGAAACACGCTAACGTTGTTCACATCCGTATTATGTTTACGACATAGAGTCCAGTTTCTATGTAATTACAAATGCGCGGTTATCTAGATTGATCACACGATTGCCGGGCTAGCGAGGCTGTATCACTTCTGACAAGAGCAAGAGACGAGGTTTAATTAATAGATCTTAGGAATTTCGCGCGAATTTATCGAGGATAATCAATGACGTACCCTCGTGAACTGGTACTCGATGTTCATCCGAAAGAACGTATCCTCCAGCATCTCTTCCTCGTCGTGCCGACAATTTCCTGACTGATCCACGTCGGTCGCTTTTATGACGGCCATGGCGGTTTATTCCTTTATGACTATCCTCGGCCAATTTCGAAACGATCTTGACCGCGGCGCGTTTTACCGTGGAACCGACTGCTTTGTCCACTGATTATACGCCGTGCTCCGATCATAAAGACACACGTCCGTTTAATATACCGTGCCATTTCTGTTCTCGAAACTCTCGCGTGTATACAAATTAATTGCCATATTAAAATTATTTACATAAGAAAGCGAAATAGCCCGCACTAAATCAATTGCAAACATCGCTGGATGAGGCTACTAGAGACACCACATTAAAAAGCGTATATATAAAGTTAAATGGCATAAAAAGATTAATGCTTAATTATTCTTTTATTAATAAAAGTATATTTTTTATCAATAAATTTTATAATATTATTTATTAATTACTTCACTATGTGTATTAATATCCTCGATTGTTTGTGAGTTGCATTGTTCGAGAAAAGGAATAATAAACGTCAAAGTGCCCGAATTTTATTTCTGATATGATTTACTTTCCGCTCGTTAACGAAAAGAATTATTATTAATAGATGCACTTGGCTTCTTTTGAGATTTTAGTAATTCTTCATGCTATTAATTTATATTTTTTTTTTCTTAATGCCATTTTCATAAAAAACTATTATATTGGCTAATTTATTGGAATTTATTGGAATTTTATTTTTATAAAGAACTGTTATTTTGGCTGATGAAAAAGGTATATACTTGGCGCCTTTTTTTTTACATTTTTGATGACTTCTTTGAACGCGAACGCTTATCTTTTAACCCGGTTGATAGCAAAATTGAACGCAAATAAAGTGCGTCCCGATCATTATCCATTAAACGTACGACTCAATTTCCGAGAGACGCGCGGTTGATTCGGCTGTGGGACCGTTATATCGGCTGGAGGATGTGTGCATTAAATCGTGAAAGCGGACGGGAGGGGAAAAACGCGTGACGCGTGGGCCCGAGGCCGGCATTAATGACGGAACGTGCGGCTCTCGTTCGCCTCGTTACTGTCGCCCTGGGGCAGCCGCGACAAGGAGAGGGAGAGAGAGAGAGAAAAAGAGAGCAACCCCAACTGCACACATCGAATCCTCCCGGTTCGCCATCGACTCCTTCTCGTAATGCGGCCAGGATATTATTTGTTTCCACTTGTTTGTGCGCACGAAAGAGCGCTCCTGACAAACAAACAATCTGCTTTTCCAAGAGCGACGCCGTCATGGTTTGTCTCTCTCTCTCTCTCTCTTTCTCTTTCCATCCCTTCTCTTTTCTTTCATATTCTTCGTTCCTTCCGTGTATGTTATCTCGTTACCCCTCATCTCTCTATCTCTCGCGCGCGCTTCTTTCGCATAAATAGATCGTAGAAAAAAAGGGATGATGGAGGGCAAGAGAGAGGAGACGATGCGTGCAAAAGGGACGAGAAAATCCTCTTCTCTCGCTCGCATCATCCCGGTATACCGCCAATGAGGCATTCGCCGCGTCCGTGCCAGCCAGTGCGCCCCTTTTGTGTCAATACTGCGATAATTATTTCTGTAGAGCGACCCGTAATGGCTCATTCAGACGGTGTCGCCGGCTTTTTTCAGTGGTAAATCGCGCCATTAAGCGGCTATAATGAACGCCAGCTCCAGAGCTCCGGCACGGGTGCACATTCGCAGTAATATTTATCTTCTGGTCGCGCGAAGGAGAGAGACGTCTCGTGGAAAACTATTCTTTTTTCTTTTTTTATAGTTTATTCAGAATGAACGAATACATTTCGTAGAGAAAATTATTGTCCTTTTTATTTCACTGGATTTGACGAACTCGGACACGTGAAAAAAAAAAAAAAAAACTGCCGAGAAACGTTGCGTAAGGCGATAAGAACCACGGCCGGTTTGCTTCACGAAACCCTCTCGGATCGACGAGAGAAGGCCAATGACAAAGATAAGACCGATACCAACGATGGCGTCGGGATATTAGTTTAGCCGAATCAAGAGACTGACATATCCTGTGACAGGTAAGCGCGTCGTCTGCGCGCGAGGGACAGCTGGACGCTCGCGCGTTGCACCTGTTCGTTCCACGACTTTTCGTTTTTTAATCGCGTTGAAATTAAATAGTCCGTATTGGATAAAAGAATTGCTCGAGTCCATTAGGCCTCTTAACGTTTTATCCCGTATATCTACCGGCAATACGGAATACCGTGAGCAAGAAAATAAACAGTCTCGTACATAATGCATTCGCAGTAAGAGGAATTGATACGCGTCATCTGACGAAAACTAACAGCTCCACGCGGACGACATCTTAACGAAAACATTGATATCGTATTGTACGTATATACGATGGCTCGTCGTGTTGACGTTACACGTATATATCGGCATTATAATTATATGTGCCATTTTATATCGTTTACGATAAAAACTTATTACTAGTCCACTTGTTTACGATCCCGCGAGCAGGTAATCGATATCATTAAGTATTCTGCAAGTAGACTGTCAACTCATAATGCGGCTCAAGCATGTATTACACACAGCGGTACATTACGTTTAATATTCCTCCCATAATGATGGACCATCTCGTTCGCCTACAGATCTCCTCTCTCTTTCTTTCTTTCTCCCTCTTTCTCTCTCTCTTTCTCTCTCTCTCTCTCTCTCTCTTAACGAAAACATTGATATCGTATTGTACGTATATACGATGGCTCGTCGTGTTGACGTTACACGTATATATCGGCATTATAATTATATGTGCCATTTTATATCGTTTACGATAAAAACTTATTACTAGTCCACTTGTTTACGATCCCGCGAGCAGGTAATCGATATCATTAAGTATTCTGCAAGTAGACTGTCAACTCATAATGCGGCTCAAGCATGTATTACACACAGCGGTACATTACGTTTAATATTCCTCCCATAATGATGGACCATCTCGTTCGCCTACAGATCTCCTCTCTCTTTCTTTCTTTCTCCCTCTCTCTCTCTCTCTCTCTCTCTCTCTCTCTCTCTCTCTGTCTCAGTTTAAGGCTACATTATACGCCAATACGCGCATCAGCATAATCACCGCGGTCATTAGAGCCTGTGTGTATGTGAAATGTTTTCTGGTATATTCTGGGTGTCCCAATTTTGCCGCGTATTTTTCTCATCAATTTTCAATCAATATCTTATCGACGAAAAAATCGATCGCACATAAAAGAAAGCTCTTGCAAAAGTCGAAGCATCAATTTATATTCGAAAGCCGCCACCGCCGTCGTTGCTGGATTTTCACGGAAATGGCACGTCATATTGTAACAATTGCGAAGGGCATTATTAGCGACATGCTTTGACCTAAATTACTCGATCGCGAGCGCGCGGCGAGTGGAGGGATATTTTACGACTAATAAGAAACATTTGCCGTAATGACTGTACTTGATAAAGCGACTTTAAGTTAATAATCGCGCTCATTAATTATAATGTATTTGCGGAATATACTGGGTAATTTGCCTCCCAAGCTGCTTATATACGAGACGCGATACTTCTATCGATTTCACGTAAATACGGTCTGAAATTTCAGTGGCTCTTCCGTGCTTACTTACATTGTGTTGCAAATGGCCGATCGCGGATAAGCAATTTACTTTGTAAATGCGACGACTGTGGATGTCGGAAACTTCCGGAGAACACATCTCGCGGCTCGCGTGACGTTCAACGTTTTCATTCGGCGGTCCCTTATCGCCGGTCCAGATAAGGCAACGCTCTGCAATAAGTAAATGAAGGTTGAATGATGAAACGAGATCGTCCACGCCCAACCCCCGGAGCAGCTCTCCCCCCCCGGGTTAGCTTTTCCCCTCGTTTTATTTCCTCCCCCCTCCTCTTCCTCCTCCTCCCGCCTCCCCACAATACGCGACGCGACGCGACGCTTCGATAATCGATCTAGACTAGACGCGTTAATTATTTATCAGGCGGCACGCGTGACTGGCGATCGTCCAATTAAATTAAAGCAGGAAGCCGGATCGCGGTTATCGGCACTTCAGCGACCCTCTCTTCTACTACGTTTCGACGATGTTATCTGATTGACGCGACCTGCCAATGCGACGCTCGGTGTGCATTCGATTCGAGTCCATTAAAACTCGTTAGTGTCCATATACGCACGACCCTTAATTGGGCGACGTTGAGCTTTAACGCCGGTCTTTCCATTACGATAGTTCTAATTAGGTCTAATCGTTCTTTATCCAGAAGACGCCATTCACGAGAGATCCCCATTATATAGTATACATATTAATAGTATAATATATGTATGTATAATATAGGAAATATTTATAAATACTATATGCATATATATGTATAGTATAACATATATGATAATAGATAATATATATCGATTCTCGTGGAGAGCATAATTCGCATACCTGAACGGAGAGTTCGAAAACTTCGTAACGTAAGCGATATACGTGCCGGTATTCGGTGGTCGCAGATTGCACGATCCGCTTAACGTACCCAAATGTAATTAAAGCCAACATTTTTGTAATACCGGCATACGTTCCTCGTTTCGACGATACGGGCCTTTATGGCGACGTAGATCTCTCGAAGCGCCGTTTACACGCGCGATTGCAACGCGGTACACGATACTTGAAGCTACGTAGTTAACGGTCGCGCATACCTACGGGGTAATCATAAATTTTTGCGTGTCATATCAAACAAGGTTGCTATAGCCACTTTCGTGATAATCTTCCCCGGCTAACGGGCGAGATCTCGTCGTATTTATTACGTGCACCGTCGCGTGCGCGCGTCTCGCAGCGTGCATTCGCGTTCGTGCGGTCGCGATGCAGTGCGAGTATTATTATATTCTACGGTTATATACGCGAAGAGAGAAAGAGAGAAAAAAAAATCATAAAAAAGGACTGAAAACTTTATATCGAGTTATAATACCTAAAAAAAAAATGCATAATTCTTTTATTATTATAACACTTAATCGCTCTCTGTTATTCGCTCGACGACTCAA